GAGTAAGACACCGTAGGGTAGTCCGTAGGAAGACCTAGAAAAATAAAACAAACAATTTGATACCTGAAACAAATGCTAGTTGATGCTCCGGAGTATTTATCTCTGAAAAGTCGCAATCAAAGTCGCAAGCAACGATGCCTGTCGTAGAGATTGCTAGAGAGACTTGGTTAATTTTATTTCACTATGTAGGACTCACCGGAGATAATTAAATCAACGGCGGAGATAAATCACTCGACGAGTCAGGCCTATTGGCAAAGCTAGGATCGGTTATAATTCGCTAAGTTCATGCTTTCGAACTTCGTGGGTTGCTGAGATCGTAATGCTAATTCTCTGAGATGGTGAAGTGCCAAACTTGTTTTTCTGTATGCTACTTTGTACAATTTATACTACAGGAATGGCTTTGCGACCGTCCGGAGATAAATAACAAATAAACGCCGCTACCCACAGGATTGCTCAGCACTTGCCTCCGTTATACCATACACCATACGACTCCCTTGCACTCCCACTTGCTCGTCCCAGCCCCTAGAGGTTGCCTCGACGTTCCGCCACCTGCCCTAAGCGGTCCCATCACTCTGTGCAATGTGCCAGTCACATGCTAATTACCTCTGGCCGCTTGCTGACTGATGCTGGCCTCATGGTGACTCGTATGCGTCCGCACCTTCGGGAGTTTGATGGAAACGAGAGGGGGAGTGTGCTGGAGGGTGGGCATGAGGATGACACCCCTCGATAGAAGTGTCCATGGGCCCCGGAGCTAATTCATCTAAAAGTTGCATAGGTTAAGTCGCTCCGGAGCTCCTGTACGGGGAGATAAATCACAGAATGGGTCCGTGTACGCCTTGAGGATGCTCGGAAGTCCGGAGCTAAATAGAGCAATTCTTTAGAGCCCATAGAAGCCTAGAGGCGTGTGAGCGCTGTGTCGAATAAGCTCCGGAGGGCTTGTACGATGTGCTGAGTCCGCGTTTTTGGGGGTCAGACGATCCTGAGGCTTATCATCGGATACCCATGTAAGTCCCTCAAGCCTCAAGGAGTGCAAGGCAGTTGGGGAAGGCCTTCAGGAAGGGCTTGGGCAGGCCAGACTCTGTCAAAGAAACATCCTGGGCATGCTCGGTACGCAGTGTCCCAGAGGAAAGATCCAGCAAAACAGGTTGGCCACGCTTATAGCCAGGATGAGAAGGGCGGGATGGAAGCTTCACGAGATTCTCTGCCTCAAACTTTCCATCAACAATACTGTCAATGACAGACTGCTTCACTCATGGGAACCACAAAGCAACAGAACGACGGTGAGGAGAGGAAGGGTTATCAAGCTCACCAAGGGGGTTAAAGGTGGCAATGGCAGGGGTGTGCAAACCAGCAGCCTGGACAGGGGGTACTTGAGGAGCACCCATACCGGGAGTGCCACTGCCGGGTGTGGCACCAGGAGTGGCATCAGCAGAAAGTGCTCGAGCAACCAGAGCCTCGAGACATTGCAAGGCTTCAGGGACAGTGCGAAGCTCAGTGAGTTGAGGTGTTTCTTCAGGCATAGGGGGTGGTGGAGATGGTGGAAGTGGAGGGAGTGGCACAAAGGGGGAAACAGATGGAGGAGAACGGGGACGAGTCCTGAAATGGCCACGAGAATTGCGAAGCTGCTTGTGCATGCACACGCAGAAGAGAGGAGACAGAAAACAGAGGCTCTATGAGCCACTCTATGCTAGACTGAGATGGAGAGAGGAGGCACACACTGCGCGGGATGCGAGCTAGGGTTGCAGTCACGTGACCCCGCCTATGCATTCCCCCGCATGTATACGTGCACCAGGGTTTTCGACTGAGGCTTTGTTTCCACGAAACACTGTGCTCATTGCATGATGATATGAAGAAGCAATTCTAGCACCCGCCATCAGATACTCGCCATATATCGATCAATCATACATTTGCATTATTAATAATCCAGTGTCCTGGCTGTTGTTTACGCGCTATTTAGAAGACAGCCTTCAAGTTGTGGCACCGAGCAGGGATGCCAAACAAGCGCCAAATATGTGTAAATACAGGTAAATAGTGTACGCATTCCTGCAGCACGAGATACCTTGCGACCAGCAAGGTAAAGATTGAACCCTAATCTAGGGTCCGGACCCCGTGACGCGTGCGGGACCCCGCCGCGTTCGAATATTTGTCAGTCTCCAGCGCAAGGCCATCGGTGCTCGACATGCTGTCACGGGCGTATGCTACGCGCCTACCGGCCATGGCCCCGTCCTCTTCATCGTCCCGCGTCGGCGCTGTCCTGGGCCATTTCTCGTCCAGGAGCATGGCTTCCTCCAGTGCGGGCGCGCAGGTGAGCTGAGCTGAGCTGGGTCGGCTGTAATTACTGACGTGAAACGCACAGGATGTTATACTGTTTGAATCACATCTCTCGTCGCGGACGTACATCCTCAACCGAGACAAGAAGCTCAACGCCCTCGATCAGACCATGCTCGACGTCCTCCGGCCCAAGATCGAGGTGTGTCTATTTGTTGCGCGGTGGGCGGTGATATGCCCTGCCTCATTTCCGTACTCGCCTTCCCCACGATTCTGATCCTCTGTCTGTGTATTACTTTGATTACTGACCCGCTCTCCCTGCCCGTGTCCTTCCGCGAACCGCACCGATCCAAACCAACCCACCTGCTAGGAATGGGCCTCCGCCGACCTCTGCAAGCTTGTCATCGGCCGCGGCAACGGGCGCGCCTTCTGCGCCGGCGGGGACGTCGCCAGTGCGTCTTTTACCCTCGTTCCAGCATTCTGACCCTAACCCCTCCAACTCAACTCAACCTAACCTAATCCATCCAACCCAGGCGTAGTCACCCAAGCCGCGAATCCCTCCACGCGTCCGCGCGCAATCGAGTTCTTCAAGCGCGAGTTCGAGCTCGACTACCTCCTCGCCGCCCTCGGCAAGCCGTACGTCGCCGTCATGGACGGGATCACCAGTACGTCCTGCTCTGTTCTACCATGAGCGTCAGATGTGG